TATTTTAGACATTATGGATGGAAAATCTGCAGACTGTCATAAACATCATTTGGCTTACATGTACAATTATAAGTCACAGTTAATTGAAATAATTCAATAAACAAAAATAATTTACAAACATTTACCAATATCTTTAAAAAAAATTAAGTATGGTCCTTCATGCATATATTTCCATTGTATCATTTTTAGTGTTTGGTGGCAAAATTAACAAGAGGTCCAAGAGCTTTGAATCGCTCTTCTGATAAACTGTACAACCTATCATTTCTATTTGAAGCCTCTAAGTATCCTGTATATTTAGATAAAGTCTTGAAATTCCAAATCGTCATCTTGACCTACATTTTAGATGAAACACTCTGAGAACCCAAGATGATTCTAAGCCCATTAGTATCCGAAATATTGAATTATAGTCATATAAATTGAAAAGTAGGTCACGGTAACTTACTTTTCAGTCAATTTACTCCGAGGACCCAAGATGCATCAACTGACAAAGTTTGATGATGCTAACCCAATTAGTACCCGAAATATTTAATTAGAGTGATATAAATTGAAAAGTAGGTCATGGTGCCCTACTTTTCAGCTGACGTTTTTCGAGGACCCAAGATGCATCAACTTACAAAGTTTTATGATCATAGGCCTTAAAATGTCCAAATTATGCCTCTAAAACGCTTTGAAATCGAATGCCTGCAAAGTTCAAAAAGTAGGTCACTGTGACCTACTTTTTAATAAATATGTTTTATGGCCCCAAGATGCATCATCTTACAAGATTTAATGATTCTAAACCTCTCAGTATTCGAATTAATGACCTTAATTGTTTTAAAAAAGATTAGCCATAAAATTCAAAAAGTAGGTCAAGGTGACCTACTTTTTAGTCAACGTACTCCGAGGACCCAAGATACATCAACTGACAAAGTTTGATGATCATAGGCCTTAAATTGTTCAAAATATGCCTCTAAATCATTTTGAAAAAGAATGGCTGCAAAATTTAAAAAGTAGGTCACCGTGATTTACTTTTGAGTCAACATGATATGAGGTCCTCAGATGCATCAACTGACAAGATTTGATGATCCTAGTTCTTAAAATAAACAAAATATCAACATTATAATATAATGTAATTTTTGGTCAACTTTGAAGAGACCTTGAGACCATGCCCTTTGCCCCAGGGTGATTTCCCGTGCAAATTTTAATCTACAACATATCCTTATCCTTTTGTGTAAGTTGGTGATAATCTGCCCAGTGGTTTTTGAGAAGAAGATTTTTTAGCATTCAGTACTTTTGTTTCTATTTTCCTAATTATCTCCCCTTTTTTAAGGGTCACAACCCTAGTTTTAGTAAAAATGGGAGTTGTTGGGCCAAGGATACCCTGTAACAAATTTGACAATAATTGGCCAAGGGGTTCTTGAGTTATGGCCCATATTCTATAAAGCTTACACACATCGCACAAATGGCCATAGCATTAGCTCTTTGAGCCTTTGGCTCAGAAGAGCTAAAAATGGAAACCTCCACCGATTATTCTACTTTTCAGTTAATGCTGTGTTTTTCTTGTCGAATACATAACCTTTTTAACAATAAGTCTGCAGATTTCCCATCCCTCATGTGAGAAATAGTGCAAAATTCTACATTTCGTCTATAATATGATTTTTAAAACATTTGTTACTATAAATAGAAATGGAAACCTCCACTGAATGTACTGCATTTCAGTTAATGCTGTCTCGCTCTTTTCAGTCGCCTTATGTTAACAACAGAAAATAAGAGTTAGTCTGCAAATTGTCCATCCCTAATGTGAGAAACAGTGCAAAATTCTACATTTCTTTAATAATTTGCAGTATGTCTATTTTTAAACATTTGTTACTATAAATAGAAATGGAAACCTCCGCTTATTATTCTGCATTTCAGTTAATGCTTTCTTGTACTTGTTGTTCCCCTTATGTTATTAACAATTAATAGCAGTTTGTCTGCAAATTGTCCATCCCTAATGTGAGAAAATAGTGCAAAATTCTACATTTTCTTGATAATTTGCAGAATGTCTATTTTTAAACAATTGTTACTATAAATAGAAATGGAAACCTCCGCTTATTATTCTGCATTTCAGTTAATGCTCTTCTGTACTTGTCAGTCACATTATGTCAGTTACAGTTTATGACAGTTAGTATGCAAATTGTTCATCTCTAATGTGAGAACTAGTGCAAAAAATCCACATTTCGTCATTAATTTCCCATGTGTCTAATTTTAGACATTTGTACTATTTATAGAAATGAGAGCCTATCCTCAATAATGTGTGAGTTATTGTATTATCCCATGTTCTAATTGATGAAATATTGGTGATAGCAGTATGTTTATCACTTATGTTTTAGTGGAGCTTCTAAATGATAGAAAATAGTCATTTTTACACATATTATGAGACATGTCTACTTTAAGGCATTTGAAGCTATAAATAGAAAACGGAACTCCCTTCAAATAATATGCATAGTAGTTATTGGTGTCCAGTTTCTGTCATTAACATATTGACTTTTACAGTATATTTCTTAAATACCTACCAATGGCATCTTAAACTCTGCCCAAATTTGATTTTTTAGATTTTTCTGAAATATGTCTATTTATAGATACATGTTACTAAAAATAGAATTGAGATCCCACTCCAATTTTTTCATGAGGTGACACTCCTAATTCTGAAGTATAAAACACACATAAGATTTGAAAAATTTCCATAGACAATTTTTTTTATTTAACCTTAAAGTTCTCAAAAAATACCAAATTTCCCATTTTTCACATTTTCAGAAACAATGTCATTTTACAGGACCTTTTTCTTAGAGTGGGAATAATTCTGGAATAACCGATTATATGCCCTGTATACCTTAAAAGTTGATGTTTTCTTATGATACAATGATTTGTGTTTGAGTTTACTACATAAAGACAAAAATGCATTTACATTTCCTCAATTTTCATGTTTTTATTTGGTCAAAAAGGGCCAAAAAGGGCCAAATTCAATTGACCCGTCTCCATGGCAACCGGGTGCACGTGTGAAACTTCTAACACCATATTTCCTAGTTTTGTGCCAAGATGCACCTGTGGTGCAAATTTCATCAAAATCGGAGAGATGTCGTTTCCAAGATTTTTTGGTGCTTACAGAGAATGCATGTTAAGTAATCCTTAAACTATCTTTTAAGATTTTCTCAAAATACAAGAAATTGAATAGGTACCAAATTTTAGACTACCTGCGGAAACTCTCCAATATGGAAAGACTTTCTATACATGCATATAAAACAGGCACGTAGCACCGTTTCTCAAAATGTGTGTATGCGAGGGGGAGCGGGGCAGTATAATGATTGATAAGCAAAAGAAAAACTTTAGGCAATTAAAAATTAGGGGAAGTGAAGAAGAAAAACAGGCATTTAAAAAAAACTCTGTAGTCAGAGGAGGGACAGATTCCATTCATACTATCATTTTCGGCAGAAAAATATTTGAGTACAATGTACAATAATGTTGGATTAGAGTTGGGGGGAGGGGGGGGGGGGGGGGGCAGCCAGTCTTAAAATAAAAAAAATCCCTGTCGAATGCGTGGGTGGGGGATGCCCCCCTTTTTTCGAGCATAATGTTTTACTGTTTAGTATGAAATACACAATCAGAGGCTGATCTCCTCCACATTTTGTTGCACTATAGTCAAATCCTCGAAAAAGTTGCCCCCCCCCCCCCTCCCCGCCACAAAATAGGATTTTGGAGATTTTTTTTATATTATATTTTTTATTTATTTTTTTATTATTATTATTATAACTTTTATTATTACTATTATTTATTTATTTTTTTTTTTTTTTTTTTTTTGCTTGTCAAAGATTTTTCAGGTAAAGTGTCAATTATTTCTTAGATGCAACGTGCCTGAAAGACACTCTGAGAAAAGGGAGTATCCCCCCCCCCCCCCCCGGCTCCACGTATGTGTATATTTGTTAATTTGCGTTCTGGTTAAATGCTCTCATGTCGTGTTCTAAATCATTTTTTTTTTACACCAAATTACTCAGTTAGTTTTTAGATAATCAGCAATCAGACTTTTTTTTTAGTGATTTCTTATTTTTTACCCAGTCGCGCAAATACTAATTCCCTTTTTTACTTTTGATATTTTCCCCGACCAAAATCTTATCAGCACGGACTAAGCGTATTCGAGTGCTAGGCTGTACGATGAAGTGACAACGTGCTTACTGTTGAGTATTTATGGAGTTTATTACTTTTTGTGATGCATATTTCAATAAATGGAATATAAGGTGTAAATTATTCGGCATGTGCACATCTTCGAACAGGTACAGTGGTCTATTTCCAGGTATGAATAAGTTTACAGTGTTCGGCGTGTTCTCTCGATATGCATCAATTGTATTTGAATGCATATGGACATGCATAGGAAATACACTGGTGGAGTGATGGTTTGTTCCATTCTTACGATAGATTATTGCAAATTGTTTGTACGAGTTTTACTGTGTATTATTTCAAGTTTACTGTGCATATATTGGTATGCTTTTAAAAAACACGCACAACTATGTTTCTTCTTCCAAACTTGCATTTATGTTATTCAAAACGATAATTATTCATGATTATCGTTATGACTGTTTTTATCCGTTCTGGTTTTAAAATGTTTTCATCAATTCATGTGTTCCCCAAATACTTTACTATCGGAGATGTGCACGCGTCGATAGCCAAACCAAAAATTCACTCAAGTGTAACGAGGGCACTGGGGTATATATCGTTACAATAAGACAAATATGGCGGAATAGTTGGTATGAAACAAGTCGTACATTGATGCAAATTTTGCGTTTTTAAGAATTCATGTCAGCTTTAAGTAGCTACTATTGATGTTGCTGCTACGCTATAAGACTATCAACCTTCTAACCACAATTCTTTGATCGTCAGTGACTATAGCTCAATCATTTTAATGTAGGATGCAAATTTTGTAGCAAAAGTCTGTTATGCCCTGAACTTTATGGCATGTTTGATATTGTAAAACTAATGTCAGGACTCACCTTTCTTTGACTTGGCTCCTATTTTCAATTTTGATGGCCAAGTGATTTGCGTGTTGCTTTCACTCATGACCTAATACATAAAAAAAATCTTTTAATAACCAAGCAAAAAAAAAAAAAAGAAAGGAAGAAATGAATGGAATGCAAATTTTTATTTATGTTATGATACAACATCACTTCCTCTCTATTGATGAAGGACTAATTCATGAATAAATTCAAAACAAACCACAAGTAGAGAAAATTTATCATAATTAAGTCAAAAACAACTTAAAATATTGATACAACTGATGAATTGGTAATGTAGAAATTAGACAATCAATAGACAGAATGCATTTTCCTCAAACAATTAAAATTATAATCAACAAATACATGTATGTATATTTTTTTCAAATATATATAACACAAATTCAAATTTAGAAATACTTTTAAGAATCAGATAAATGTGCTCTTCACTCAGGAGATTATGATGACCATTAAATCAATGGGGTTTAAGGCTTTAATTTCCTCTCCCCAATTTAGGCCACTGTGTAAAATGAGATGATAATTAGGTTACCACATGGTTCATTGTCTGACATCTTTGCATAAGACAGCTAGTACAAGATTTAGTCAGGTGGCAAAGGATAGTTTCGGATTAAGTACCAGTCAAAAATTAGAAAAAATAGAGGAACCTAAGGTTTGAATGTATATTATAGGTAATTTTATTGCTAGAATATTTTATGTGTGCATTTGGAGGGAATTGGTGGCCTTGTATATTTTATTGATAAATGACACTTTAGTGTCACTACTACTGTTAATGGGATATGGACTAGAAATACGAAACTAAGATCAATCAAAGTACTGAAAGTACTGAAAGCCGGGCTTTAATATGTTCGAGTGTATTGTCTAATCCTAAATTAGTACATATTTGAAAATCTTTCTTTCTGACCATTGATATTTAACAGGTAGAGTTTGTATGATTATGATTAACAATAACCCATCTACCAATAATTAAAATTTACGGTCCAGAACCCAACGTTAAGACCCCAGGATAGGACTTAGTGATATTTTTAATGAAAATACATTTATACCTTTCTAAACATTAAGCTCACAATGGTTATGCATGGTAACAGTGCACTTTGAGTGGTTTTGCTGATTCATACAGGCACATACATAGTATCGGAGGAGCTATGGGTGTCACCATTTTTCAAACAAAAACTTTTACAATGGACAATGTACATTGAAAAGTTGCTTGACTCTTCACAATCAAATTTAAATTGGAACTTTCATCTCACTCTTCGTAATATAAACCAGGTATTTATCACGAGCGACGAACAGATTTACTAAAAGCAAAATGGATAGTCTAATTTTAATTAGATTGAACCCATCATTTTTTTGTAGCATATTAAAAGTACGGTAATTTGGTAATGAATTAATGAAATTCGAAATGTGAAAGTAAGTTGTAGCCCACCCCTATTCCTTCTCCAACGGAATAGGATTTTCGGGTTTGGACAATTCTCCTTTTTTCTGATAATGATACTACATGCCTGTATTAATCAGAAAAGAAATATTCTTTATTTTTGGTCCTCTAGGAAACCAGCTGCACGAAAATTATAATTATCTAATCTTTATGACATGACTATGAGTCTAGTTCTAGTTCCAGGTTCGGCCATAATGGTCATTGCCTGAGAAAATCATGATGTATTCAGGTCTTTATGGCTCGTACATAGATGGCTCTTCATTCTGAACAGGAAGTTTTGAAGCAAAGACTAACCAACTTTTTCTGAAAAATTATAATGTGTTGTACTTAGATAAAGACTTATGAACATTTTTATATGTTGTTTTCTTTTAATTATATATTAACATAAACGATTTTTATTTCCCAGCACCCTTGAGAGCTTGCATGTGTTTTAAGACCTTTTTTTTTGGAATGCGCGCGCACGCTCAATATACTGTAAAGCGCTTTGGGAGTACATGCGAGATGAATCCAAGGTGAGAAGTCTCGAACAAAATTTTCACATTCAAAACATACCATTGACTTTTCACTAAAAATTTGATCTGAATTTGTAAGCATAAAAATTTTCGACGCTAAATTGATTATTAAATGGGTATATATTGGATCTCCCATGATTTGTAGTTGGATATGATTTTTATTCAACGAGTTGTGTGTTTTTTATCCCCGAGCCTTGGCGAGGGGATAAAAACACACAACGAGTTGGATAAAAGTCATATCCAACTACAAATCATGGGAGATTCTTTTTATCCCTTGTTTAATACTTCACAACCAATGTTTTACACTGTTTTATATAGGACACCACTTTATTTTACTTCATCACGCTAACGCAAAAACCATTGTGACGTCACAACTGCACTTAACTGTGGATTATGAAAAATTTATCCAATGAGTCATATCCACGGGATAAAGGGGTAAACATGGGATAAAAATAATTATTTTATATATTATACATAAACATATTCACATGAAATTTCTATCTTAAAGTTTACATTTTTATTTATTTATATTCCATGCTTCACAGAATATAAATCTTTATCCCAGTCATTTAAATTAATACTATTAAATTAGAATATTAACCAAATGGAATCGCATTGTTTATTTCATATTATGAAAGAAAACAAATAGTTTTGAACTTCATTTACATCACCTTTACACAAGATCTTAGTCGCTCGTGTGGCGCAGTGGTAAGAGCGTCTGCTCTAGCGTCGCGAAGTAAGGAGTTAATCCTTACGTCGCGGGTTCGAATCCCACCGTGGGACGTGGAGACCGGTCCTTCCGTTGAGACCGTATAAACCGAGGTCCCGTGTCGCAATAGGTACTTGCACGAAAAAGATCCCTCACTGCTCAATGGCCGTAAGTGCCGAGTATAGGACAAAATTTGGAGCTCTCCACCGGCAAGTGGTAGTGTCTCCGTATGAGTGAAAAAATTTTCGAGAGGGACGTTAAACAACATACAAACAAACAAACACAAGATCTTAACCATCATAAGGATTTTTGTTCGAAATTATTTATTAGAAAGGAGAAAGTTATTTTAATTGCATTCAGGGTTATCGAAGTAATACCGTATTTTCAAACCCTTTTCTTTAAACGCATTAAAATTTTAACTTTTTTATTTGAGTAGTAATATATTGAAAACATTACAGCATTACCAGTATTACAACTGTAAGATTAATCTTCATGAATATTTACATACATACATCATTAGGCTAAAAAATTTTTGTTTGTTTCCGGTTATACCCGACTGACCTCCTACACATTTTTTATTTTTTTTTTTAATTCTACCAATAACATATGGCTAGTGAGGAGAATATATAAGTCATTTGTTTTATTTAATGTCACTAATTTAAACATTTAAGGTCACTAATTTTAACTTTTAAGAAAACAATTATTTTTTTACAAAAAATGTTTGTCTGTCAATTGCCAAACTTTTTTTTAAAAGAATGTTGAACCATATGGTTTGCTGATTTTTCTTTAGATATATTTGAATTAGAATTTAATTTTTAAAAAAAAATTATATTCATATTGGTTTTATAATTTATGTAATTCATAGTTAAAGAAATGCACATATTTTTAGAGATATTCTTAAAGTTTCAAACAAACAGTACTTTTATCGCCGACTAGATACACCAGATACACCATGTACAATTGTCAGGCGACCTAATTCAGGTATAACGCACATTAATTAATTCTTTAAACTCCAATTTACTTATCTATTTAATTGCTGAAAGACAAAACAGAGAATATAACCACTCACATAACATCGACGAAAATGATATGAAATATAGCAACCTGTCGAAAAGCCCACGCTTATTGAAAATAGTTCGCTTACAATATGCATTCAGTAGCGTATGTGCACAAATTGTTATATCACGATTACCCTAATAAAGTAAATATCTAATTCCTCTTTCAATTTAATCCTCAAACAAAAATATTGATCAATTAACAATTCCGTAGATTGAGATGTAAAAAATATTTGTTTAAGTATTGTCTTTCAATGTGACTATTTTGTTTATCGGAAGCGTCTGCTTTGACGCTGTTAGGCTTTTTGTTTACTTTTCTGAACATGTGCTATTTATAGTAAGGCAGTCGATCACGATGCCTACAGCCAGGACTTTGCTTTCAGCAAAGCCCGGCTAAAAATCACTCTTCTGTTATTTCACCAGAAAAGCGGGGTGGGTTAATATGATGAATTGTAGCTTGAAAACGAGGTGGTTGAGCCATTATATCTTGCTGTTCAATGGTATGTACAAGTGCAATTTGTGTGGTAGCTTAGGGCATTAGCACGGGCCTGGAAGCAGTTGCGGATGCGGCGAAATAGTGAAAATAGGCTTAATTTACATGAAATTTTGAGATTGTCCCTGTGCCATCATTAGGGCTCATTGTGTAAGTTGTACATGTTTTATTCTTTTGAAATTAAGGATTTTACAAGGTGGTGGGTATATTGTTTTTTTTTAATAAACACAATGCCTCAAAAGAAAACTAAAGAAACTATAATATATATTAGTTGCTTTATTAATCACACAGTTCTAGAACATAATTTTTAGTTTCTAGGACATTGGACATTGGCAGCGACTATTGATTACATTTTTTTTTGTCTACAAAGGGTTTGAAATTAAGGATTTTACAAGGTGGTGGGTTTTTTTTTAATAAACACAATGCCTCAAAAGAAAACTATAGAATTACAAGACGTACCCCCCCCCCCTCGGGTTTTTTTTTTACACCATATAAAATTTTAATGATAAATTGAAGTTTAACTCTAGATCTGTAATGAAACATTATATTTACCATTCTGAATAAAGTGCATTTAATGAATTACATGTATCTGGTCATGCTGCAGATATGAATATCCTTTTTTTCTTCAAACTTCAAACGGGCACTTGTTTCTATAATAATTTTTTTTTCCCAATGGTACAATTACAGAAACAAGTGCTTATTATATTTAGCCATGCATGTACAGATTTGCAGATACAACAGTAAGATCTTCGGTAATCCCCCCTTCCCCCCCCCCCCCCCCCCCTTTTCCTGCAAAATGTTCCTGTCTGATGCAATGTACATATTACCTTTGCAAAATATAAACAGAA